GTTGTTCAGGTCTAGTGTTCACCCATTTGCTCATCACTCCTCCTCTGCAACTGGATTCCAGAGTTCAGCTCAGTGTTAAGCTGTGGGTGTTTGCTTCTGCTTCCAACAGCTACTGGATGAAGCCTCTAGGATGGCATATAAGGAAGTCATCAATCTCATTATTGGAGAAGGTCATTTAAGGTAGCCTCTCCACTATTGCTTAGATTGTTAGTTGGGGTCAAACCTGTAGATCTCTGGACATATCCCTAGTGCTGGATTTCTCTTTAAACCTATAATGGCTCCCTCTATTATGGTATCTCTTTTCTTGTTCTCCTCTATTCTTCCCCTGACTCAATCTTCCTGCTCTCTCTTGTCCTCCTCTCCTCTCTTCTCCCCTTCTCTTTCTCCTAAGTCCCTCTCTCTTCCCCCATGCTCCCAATTAGCTCAAGAGATCTTGTCTCTTTTCCCTTCTCCAGGGGACCATGTCTGTCTCTTTTAGAGTCCTCCTTATTTCCTAGCTTCTCTGGAGGTGTGAATTGTAGGCTGGTACTTCTTTGCTCTATGTCTAAAATCCATATATGAGTGAGTATATACTATGTTTGTCTTTTTGTGACTGGGTTACCTCACTCAGGATGGTTTCTTCTAGTTACATCCATCCACTTACCTGTGAATTTCAAAATTCCATTGCTTTTTTCCTATGAGTAGTCCTTCATTGTGTAAATGTACCACATTTTCTCCATCCATTCTTCAGTTGAGGCACATCTAGGTTGCTTCCTGGTTCTGGCTATTACAAATAATGCTGCTATGAATATAGTGGAACAGACATCCTTGCTGTATGAATGTGCATCTTTTGGGTATATACCTAATATTGGGATTGCTGGTGTGGTAGTCTGATTCCCATTTTCCTGAGGATTGCCATACCGATTTACAAAGTGGCTGTATGAGTTTGCACTCCCACCAGCAGTGGAGGAGTGTTCCTCTTTCTCCACATCCTCTCCAGCATAAACTTGCATTGGTGTTTTTTATTTTAGCCATTCTGACAGGGGTAAAATGGTATTTCAGAATTGTTTTGATTTGCATTTCCCTAATGGTTAAGGATGTTGAGCACTTTCTTATGTGTCTCTCAGCCATTTTAGACTCCTCTGTTGAGACTTCTCTATTTAGTTCTGTACCCCACTTTTTAATTGCATTATTTGGTGTTTTGGTGACTAGCTGCTTGACTTCTTTGTATATTTTGGAAATCAGCTCTCTGTCAGATGTGAGGTTGGTGAATATCTTTTCCTGTTCTGTGGGCTGCTGTTTTGTCTTGTTGACTATGACCTTTGCCTTAAAAAAGCTTCTCAGTTTCAGGAGGTCCCATTTATTAATTGGCTATCTCAGTGTCTGTGCTACTGGTGTTATGCTCAGGAAGCAATCTCCTGTACCAATTCATTTGAGGGTACCACATACCTTGTCTTCTAAGAAGTTCAGTGTGGCTGGATTCAGATCCTATCCAGAAGGAGTCCAGCCCACCCAGAGACTGTCAGCATCCTAGTCCTTTTCTCTGCCCATGGGACTGTGAGTAAACCTTGGGCCTGTTTCCAGCCTGCCTTCCAGTGCCTTGCTCCCAGCCAGCTGAGGCCTGGGGACTGCACACTGAGAATCCCAGTGTGCAGTCTTGGATCCAACCCAACCAGAGACTACCAGCATCATAGTCCCTTTCTCTGCCCACGAGACTAGGTCACCTGGGCCTGTTTCTGGCTTGCCTTCTGGTTCCCTACATGGAACTACCTGAGGCCTGGGGACTGTGCACTGTAGATCCCAATTCCATTGGGACCCAGGCCTACAGTTGCCTCCATCCAAGGGAAGAGGAGAACCATCAGAGTATTGAACCTGCCTTCACCCACTAGAAGGAACCTTGGTCCTGTACCCACCATGAGAGAAAGAGACTCCTTCTACATCCACTGGAAGTAGCGATGGGAAGGAGACAATATAAAAACACACTCACCAACAGAAAAACCAATATGACACCACCAGATTCTAGAGACTCCATACCAGCAAGACTCCAAGACTCCAACCCAGATGAAACAGAAGAGAATGACCTTGAAAACAACTTCATCAACATGATAGAGATCATCAAAGAGGATATGAGAAAGTCCCTTAAAGAATTGGAAGAAAAAACAAACTAAAAAGTACAAGAAATCTGCCAATCCCTTAAAGAAAGCAAGGAAAGCCAAGAAAAAACAATCAAACAGATGAAAGAAACAATTTCAACAGTTTAAGACATGAAAATGGAAATAGGGATTATAAAGAAAATACGAACTGAGGGAATTCTGGAAATAGAAAAGCTGGGTAAATGATCAGGAACTATAGATACAAGCATAACTAAGAGAAGAAAGAATCTCAGAGGTTGAAGTTACACCAGGAGAAATAGATCCATGGACCAAAGAAAATCTTAAGTTCAACAAATCCCTAACACAAAATATCCAGGAAATATGGGACACCATGAAAAGACCAAACCTAAGAATCACAGATATAGTAGATATCAATATGTTACTTTTGAAAGAAATGTGTTTTAGTAGATTCTCCTCACCACTCAATCTCTTGCCCCACCTTTCAACATCTTGTTGCCTCTCCCCCAGTCTCTTCCTGTGTCATGGATCCCCTCCTCCACTTCCTCAGCACCGCTTATACCTTCTCTTGGTCTCAATTCTAGATTTCAGGATTTTCCTACATTTTATACCCACACCTACATGAATGCATTAAAAGCTATCATGTGCAAAATGAAAGACAGCATGCAGGCTTTGTCTTTTCAATTTGCATATATTATATAATTTCCAAGTCTATCCATGTTTCTGAAGCTTTCCTTTTTCCTCAAATATACATACATACGAGCACTATCTGTTCATCTGTTGAGGGATGTCCAGGCTGCCTGCAATTGCTTACTATTATGAATATGGCAGCAATAAGCATGGATGTATGAGTGTATCTGTGATAACATATGGGGTCCTTTGGGTAAGTGCCCAAATGTGGTACAGCTGGCCCACAAGAAAACCCATTTTTTGAGAAGGAAAGACTCGTAGGATGATAATAATGGAAATTACTTGCAGAATTGAATAAAAGAGTGTATGAAAGTATTGATTCTAATTGATGTTTACTGCTATGTCAAAAAAGAGGTTAAGGGTCTAGAAATATGGGTTAATATTTAACACCAGTTACTCTTAGTAACAAGGTTTTGGGGGGCTACCATCCAGGTTCCAAATCATGACACATAGACTTATTATTAGTTATGAATGCTTAGCTTTATCTTATGCTAGTTTATTGATAGCCCTTACAATTTCAGCTGTTTCTCTTCATCTGCATTTTGCCTCAGGGCTTTTTACCTTTTTTCATTTTGTATGTCCTATTCCATGTCTGGCTGCCTGGCTGACTGGTCCTGGGTGTCGCCCCCTTTTTCTCCTTCATGTTTCCTCCTCTTTTTCTCTCTCCAGTCTAGATTCCTCCTACTTATTCTCTCTGCCAACAAGCCTTCCTTGTCCCTCTACTGTTGAGCTATTGGTCACTTGGGTTTGCATTAGACCAATCAGGTGCCTTACACAGGCAGAGAAACACATCTTTCCATTGTTAAACAAACACAGCATAAACAAATGTAACACAACACACCTTTACATAGTTAATGTTGTATTCTTCTATGTAATGCAATTTTGCCTGGTTAAAGTAATATTCCACCACACTACTACTGCAGAGGACTTAATTCAGAACTCAAATCTGGTTTAGAGAGTCGTCCTTAGGTGGCACACAACAATCTGTAACTCCAGTTTCAGGTAGGATATTAAAAGGTGGTTAAGTAATAAATACTTGTTTTTCATACTTCTCTAGAATGGGAAGTCCAAAATCATTGGCAAATCTTTTCCTGCTCAAAGATGGCAAAGAGTGATTGTGTGTGTGTGTGTGTGTGTGTGTGTGTGTGTGTGTAGGTGTAACTTCTCTGTTAGTCTTCTGTCTTCCAAGGTATTAATTCTACAGTATAAAGTCATTTTTTGTTGTTTCTCAAGACAGTGTTTCTCTATATTTATTGTTTTGGAGGCTGTCCTGGAACTTGCTCTGTAGACCAGGTTCACCTCGAACTCACAGAGATCAGCCTGCCTCTGCCTCCCGAGTGCTGGAATTAAAGGGGTGCGCCACCAGCGCCCAGCTATAAAGTCCCTTTCTTTATAATTCTTTCACCTTGTAGAAATTTGCTGATAATCACAGCAGAGAACTGGATGTTTGTGGTTTAATGGTGAATCAGGGGAGTGGAGCACAATTCAGTCCACAGCAAATATTTAGCACAGCTCCAGAAAAACGGCAAATATTCTAAACTAGTTGTCTCTTTCCCCAACCACCAATCCCCTCCATAATCCTTTTTCTCTATGGTGCTAAGCTAAGAGCAGAAGATCGATTAGGGAACTTGGATTGACAAAGAACTAACAACAGTGATTTTACAGATTGCCAGGATTAAACTCACTTTGAACGTTGAATTAAAAATCCACTTACTCTTTTTATGTTGATTTGCAGTATCCATTTTCTATTCAACATGTCAAGAACACAATTGTCCATTTTGCTAAATGTAACGGTGGACCTCTTTGTTGGAACAGAGCATTCTACTTTTTGTAATGACTCTATAATTTATTTAATGGTTTTCTCTTTTAGGACATACCGCTTGTTGATTCATTATTGTATTCCTGCCACAGTGAACACCAGGGTGCTCTCCTCTCTCTCTCTCTCTCTCTCTCTCTCTCTCTCTCTCTCTCTCTCTCTCTCTCTCTCTGTGTGTGTGTGTGTGTGTGTGTGTGTGTGTAGCAATGTACTCATCTTAGTCTTGGTCAGATAAATTAGTGAAAGGCCATGCAGAGAATGCCCTATCATTTTTGAACCATTCTAAATTTGCTTAAAAATATTCTTTGATGTTCTACCCAGCACCATTTTTTTCTTTCTACCTGCAAAGGCCACATTTGTTCTCTTTCCAGGCTGTTACTTCTGCAGATAATCTTGGCACTTACCTTGCTGGGAAGAAACTGTCCTCTTCTGCATAAACCTCTTATTCAACGTGCAGACTTTTAAAATTAAGCACAGGAATTGAGGGGATCAGCTCAATGTGCTCGATTCTTCATGTTAATAAGATTCAAATTAAATGCAAGCTGTAGGCCAGAAGTAAAAGGTTACCAACCAAGACTGCCAAGTCCCCTTCCAACCATCAGGGGAGGAACTTGCTCTGGCTGGCTTTCTTGTTTCTATTGTTCCATACGTAACTACATGACTCCCACCACACTTTTTCCCCCCAATGGAGCCTTCTATCCTAGCCCTACCCAAATGTTTCAGGAAGACATAAAAGCTTAAGATGCTCCTTTCCTGACCATTGCAGACATGTAAAGTAGTTAGAGAATAGAATAAAATCACAAATTGTATACTTTGAAAATAACTTTGGGGAAGCACCCTGGATCCCCAACTCTCTGGATGGCCACACAGTCAGGGAGTGTGCTACCCACCATTTTTCAGTACATCTTCCGGGGAAATTTTTCCTCCTAGAGGCAGCTTCCTAAAACACATTTTCAGATTAATGACTATGTATCAACAATCTTTGCCAAATGGCTTGTGAGACTTGAGTCTTGTTTTTCCTAACAAAATTGTTTACAAACAGAAATCTCTGCTATTCTCATTTGCTCTCATTTCTGTCTTTTTCCTCTCTCTTTACCTCTCTTCTTTCCTCCCTCCCTCTCCCTCCATATCTGTCCATCCTCTATGCCATACCGCACTTATAAATAATTAATCTTAGGGCTTCTAAAACACTAGAATGTAGGCTTGCAAGATTTCTGAGTAGATTTCTACCAAGCCTTTCCAACCTGAGTTTGATCCCTGGGAACCTTCTTGGGGGGGGTAGTGATCCCCACAACTTATCCTCTGGTTTACACACATGAACTGTGATACATCCCTCTGCCCAAAATGAACACAAATAGAAATGTAAAAATAACGAAAATGGTACAGTGTCACCAATAGTGGAAAAATACAGAGAAAGACACTGTAAGGATTCAGGCATTGTATGAGCCCGCTCTTGTCATGTGACAGAATGCACTCAGGCAGTACCATGGTCAGCCCTGGGGTTCCATGATTGAGCAGTATGCATGCAGGTGCAAAGGACCCCTTTAAAAAAACAGACTCCTGCCCACTTATGCTCTACTTTCCAGCTCTCTTTGCCTGCTCCACTCTTTCCCGCTCTCCCTTTCCCTCTCCCTTACCAGCTGTTCCCCTGGAGCAGAGAGGACTTTTCCTTTCTCTCTCCCTCTTCTGTCCTCCCTGTGTCTCTGTGTCTCTGTGTCTCTTTGCCTCTTTCATTCTCCCTGCCTCCTTTTCTAATAAAACTTCTCACTTAAGCTCTGACTGCCTGGCATGCTTGTTCCTCTACCACAGTCACACTCTCCTGTCATGGAATCCGCCAAGGTCCCCCACGCAAGGTTCCTCACACTTTATCATAACAGATATACGCTTATTAGCTTATCTTAAATTTCTTAATTTCTGAGTGCATTCAAAACAGAAGCATAGCAACTTTATAGATTATCTCTCCACAGTGGGCAACTAGCCACAACCATATTCTGCTGTAGAATGGAGAAAGTTCAGTTGGTTGCCTTTTTCAATAGGGGCCACTGCCCACTAAGCTCTTTTGATTTGTAAAGAATATGTAAAATTTTTATAACTTTTTTGACTTTGTAAATTCTTCAAAGAGTTTATGTCAACACATACCTTGTGTCAGAAAAGTGCTAAAGCATACTCATGAAAACTTACTGCTGAGAAAGCAGCCCTTGAATATGTGCTGTGAATATTTCTTAGTAAGCATGGCTATTTGTTTTTCTCTTCTTAATCAGTCTTGTTTTGTTTTTCAAGTCTCATTTTTCATTTTTTGTACAAATAACAGTGCCAGGTAGTATACTGGGCACTGAGAGTGATGTCACAAGATTAACAAGGAACCTGTGTTCCTTTTGCCTACTGCATCCAAAAACAGAAATTGAAAACATACATATATAACAATCACCCATGTCCACTGACACCTAATTTTGTTATAATTGGCTGCTTCTGAAATGTTAAGCACATTCCCCATCTTCAGGAAATAGCAGCTTTCCTATCCACATAGCCACTTATTTATTTGTTTGTTTAGAACAGAATGTTAAAGCAAGTTCCCGAAAGACCAACTCTGTGACCATATCAACACCACAGTTACCTAGAGTCCCTCTATCACTTCAATTGGGCTCTGTCTCTGAGCATTCAGCAAATCAGGAATAAAGGAGGAAAGACACCTGATTTGTGGTCACCAGGAAGCATGATGGCTTATCCTTACATACCAGGTCTTAGGACCAGGTCTTTGGAATTCAGATAAGATTTATCTGGATGTTTGTAAAAGTGATAGTACAATCCAATACTTGGATTTATCCTCTTAGTTTGCTTCACTTTCAGGGTTGGTCCAATTGTTTAATGTCATTATCAAGGTTACAAAATTCCAAACAGCTGAAGCGACTAATAAGTTTAAGAAAACTCTGATTGAGGAGTCAACAAGCATCATGCAGGTTAATTGAATTTTTATAGATTAATTCTCTGTCCTGGACTAGAAGAGGTTTTTCAGTTTCAGTGTCCACTGCCAAACCAGTGATGGGCGAAATGAGAAATCCTAAACTAGATAGATCATCTCTGTCTCATCCTGGGAACAACAATATTCCAGCGGAAGACAGGAACTTCTCAAGCGGAGACAGAGTGATGTTCTGGGGCATTGGGATACATCAGTTAGAATTCAAGGTAAGCTTCTGACTTGACAGCACACAGTCAGTCAAACAGGCTTTACAGACTGGAAGAAGATCAAAGAGATGGCAAAAATTACATTGTTTTCGGCCAAATTCAAGATTGTCTGGGTTTTTCAGATTTAAAATTCATGCATACCAGATGCTCTTGGGAAAAAATGGTCATACTGCATTTATCCTGTGGCTGTTTTATGTTGCTAATTCACAAATTCAAGCACATGTAGTAGAAAATGTATGTTTCATGGATTGAATATGATTTATTTTTAGAAGTTTTAGATTGACAAGAATTGAGGAGAGGCTTCAAACAGTTCACATGCACACTTCCTTTTATCTTTGAGGCACACATTCTCCTCTGTTCACATTTTGGGACTGTTCATTTGTTACAAATGAATAAAAATTGAACATTAGTTTAGCCAAAGTCCTCACTTTATATTAGGATAATCATACTGTGTTGAACATTCTCTGGATTTTGAGAAATGTATTGCAATGTAAATATAGCAAGACAGGATCCTATAGAATCACTTCATTATTCAAAAAAGCCCTGCTGGACTCTGTCTGTACTTCCCATCTCTATATCTTGTTCCCCCAATAACCCCGTGTGTCCTCATCCACAGTATCGCCTTTGTGAGAATGCTATGAAAGGAGAACCACACAGAACAGATTCTCTGTAGGCTGGAGAACTTCACAGGAGTCAAGACTACTCACTCCTGCCTCTTCATGATTTGACAGCACCTTGTTTTTTTTATGTAGTTGGAATTACTATAGTTCTAATAAAAATATTAATTAATATGATTCCATTTACTTTTTACTTTATAAATTAAAAACATTAAATAATACTTCTAGTCAGATATCCACCCCGCCAACACCTATAGCACTGACCACTCCCATTTGGCAGTGGACACAGGTGAGAACGCGATGGATGGAGGACTAGATCTGGGGCCCCAGACCCCAGGGCTCTGTCTTGCTTCTTGATGGATCACAGACAACAGCCTGGGTGGATCCTTGGAACTGGAACCTGAGGCAGTCACCCACCCTTTGTGTAAGTGCATTCTCCCTGAATAAACTTCATTTAACCTGCACTGATTTGTGAATCTTGATTCCCAGGCAATAAATACTTTATCAGAACTTTGATAATTTCTTACAACATATCTAATTATATTCACCCCTAAATCTTCCAAGTTCCACCCTGTATTTAACCTCCAGTATTGTGTTCTGTTTTAATTTTTTCAGTAATCCACCTAGTCCAAATTGTGCTAACAGTGTACTTACTCATGACTGTGGAATTACCCACTGGAGTGTGGTGTGCCTCCTAGGAGCTACACCAATTTTAAAGAAGACTGACTCTGTCTTCCCAAGACACCAACCCTCCATTACTCCTTTGTCTGTCCTCATTAACCTGTCCCCGTTCCATGATAAATCTTCCTTTGTACAGCTAAATAAGATACTACTGTATAGAAATGCATAATTTTCAGTAAGACCATAGAGTATTCTCAGAGCCTAGATAATACTCCCAAGAGCCAACCCTTCTTTTCCTTTACTCCAGTGAGGATGTGCCATATCAAATTCTTTTGCTGGTTGGTGGATGGCATTTTTTTTGGTATATGAGTAACAGAATCTTTTTTAAAGAGTTTTTCATTGATTCTTTGTGGATTTCACACCCTGCATACTGATCTCATTAATCTCCCTGTCCCGTCATATCCAACCTCTGCTCTTGCAATCTCTCTCCCAAAATAAAAAGAGAATTTAAAGGAAAAACAAAACAACAAGCAAACAACGTACAAAAAATCTTTGATTGGAAGCTCCAGTGTGACATAGTGAGTCACATTGTATTCCCTTTAGTTCATGCATCTTTACTTGTAAATATCCATTGCAATACGTTACTGGTCTGGCTTCTGCTACACTATCAATACTGGTTCCTCACTAGGACTCCTGGATATCCTGTTGTTGTCTTGTGTCGCAGATATTTTTGCACCTTTGTATCTGCTGGTCTGGGCCCTTCACATGCCAGAGTAGTTCACAGAGGAGGTGGATGTTGAGGTGTGCCAACATACAGCCCTGTTTCTGGACTTCAGTAGTAGCTAGGTTGGTCTACCTGCCAGCTTTCCCTGGTCAAGCTCTCCAGCATTGCCCCAGTTAGTTCACCCACTGTAGCAGGCACCAAAGAGCTGGGTCATTTCTCCTGCTCTCACCCCCTCAGAGCCTGCTCACCTACACCCTTCCCTGCACCCCGCCCCAGCGTCAGCTCTAGTGTGCTACCCAGACAAGGTGCAGGGTCCACTCTTTCACCCATCACAGGTGGCAAGAGGTGAGAGAGACATCTTTCTCTCAGCCATGCCACCAC